AGCAGGGAGCCCGATGCGGGGCTCGATCCCAGGATCCTGGGATCATGACCTGAGCTGAAGGCAGACGCTTAACGACTGAGCCACCCAGGTGCCCCTCACCTGGAGGTTCTTCCACCATATCAACATTTCCTGGTTCACGTGCAGGCAATCCTCACCTCGATGGGACTCTCCACTGCCCCGGCCACGTGAACAGGGCAGGGCCCACTGTTAAAACAAACACCACCAGCAAAACAACACTTAGGGGTTAACATTCGGTAGCTGGAAGTATCTGACCGAGTCACGATCTCTCCGGGCTTCCGTCTGATCATCTGGGTGACGGAAGTCATATCACAGAGGGTCACCTTGAGGCTGGCCACAGAGGAAGTCACTCTTTAGTTTGGATTACGCCGTTACGAAAAGGATACATGTTTCAATGTTGGCCCCAACGATATAGCCAGTTACATCAAAGTTGATCCGAATAAACTTGCCCTGAAGATAAATCACAACAAGAAAATTAAAAGGACGGACGGACACAGAGGATATGAACAAATAAAGTGACAAACCAATGCACCCTGCCAAGTATCCATGAGTTGGTTACAAAAATGGGTGTCAAATATTACCTCAAATAGAAAGGGAAGGCAAAAGCCTCCGTAAATTCCCACAAAGCGGCAATAGGACAGGCTACCTTCCTGGGCTGTAACATAATAAAAATGAGACCCTAATCAATTAGAACTTTGAAAAAACTCTCCTACATAATCTAAGATAAGAGATTTCACAGCATTAAAGGAACACTGTATCCAGCCCCATAATGACAGGCTTGAGAAACGAAGTAGTACAGTTTCCTAGGAAAACAGAAATCCATTCAAGAAAAAAGGGAAAACTTGAATAGATCATAATCATTAAAAATGAAATATAATTACTTCTTCAAAAATGATGGATTGGTCTGATGAAACAGTTTTGCAAATTCCTAAGGAAAATTTAATGGCCCGACTACACATAACTGGTTTTTTTTTTTTTTACACATAACTGTTCTAAAGACATAGAAAATAGTGATTATTTCATAATTCATTTCATAAAGTTACCATAATACTGAATACCAAAACTGGTAAAGTGATTGTAAAAATGAGAAGGCAAAAATAAAAGCAAGTAGCTCACAAATTAAACCCTTTGCAAAACAAAGAAAACTGACGAATGGCAACAGATGGTTTATTCCACGACTTCAATGCTCGCTCATCATGCAGACAGTCAAGGGATTGGAAGGCTTTCCTTGGGGAAACGGACAAGCTGATTCCAAGATTTACAGGGAAATGGGAAGGACCTAAAAAAGTCACAACGATGTTGAGGAAGAGGAGCAGAGCCTCAAGGACTTGCACTACTAGATTTCAAAAAGCTCTAAGTTTATGAGGACAGGTTGGTATTGGTGGAAGGACAGAGATACAGATCAATGGATCAGAAGAGAGTCCAGAAATAGACCACACGTCTACAGTCAATTCATCTTTCAACAAAAGGTGCCTGGATAATTTAATAGAGAAAGGACCAATCTTTCCAAAAAATGGTGCCTGAAAAATACGTAAAATGAAACCAAAAGAACCTAGACCCTTCCTCACACCATATAAAAAAGTTAACTCCGAAGAGATTAAACCTAGAAGCATGGGCTAAAACCATAAACTTCTAAAAAACAACAACAACAACAACAAACAAACAGGAGAAAATCCTTATGACCTTAAAGTAGAAAAAGTCTTCTTAGAATGTAAAGAGCATGAACCTTTAGAGTTTATCAACTAAAAATTGATAAACTGGATTTTATCAGAATCTAAAGCTTCTGTTCTTCAAAAGACACTGTAAAGACAATGAAAAGAGAAACCACAGACCAGCAGAGAATATCTGCAATATACCTACCTGGTGAAAGACTTATTCCCAGAATATATAAAAAAAAATTCCATAACAAGACAACCCAAGAAAAACATTGGGTAAAGTATCTAAACAGATTATCTCATCAAAGAAGATATGTAAACAGTCAACAGTATATGAAAGGACGCTCAATGTCATGAGTTATTAGAGAAATGCAAAATAAAATGAGCATAAAGACATACAAGTACATACCTGCTAAAATGGCTAACATTCTGAAGAAAGACCAGCCATGAGACAGAACAGCTAGAACTCTCCTATGACCCCGGTAAGAATATAAAGCAGCACAGCCACTTTGGAGAAGTCTGCGGGTTTCGTATTAAGTGAAACGTAAGTTACCATATGCCCCAGCAATCTCACTCCTAGGTAGTCACCCAAGAGACACAAAAGCACGTGTCCACATCGAGACTTGCAGTGAATGTTCAAAGCCACTTTATTCGTAATGGTCTTCCAATGGAAACAACCCAAAACGTCCAGAGTGGTGAACAGATAAAGAAACTGTGGTATGGGGCTCCTGGGTGGTTCAGTCATTGAGCGTCTGCCTTCGGCTGGGGTCATGATCCCAGGGTCCTGGGATCGAGCCCCGCGTCGGGCTCCCTGCTCAGCGGCAAGCCTGCTTCTCCCTCTCCCACTCCCCCTGCTTGTGTTCCCTCTCTCGCAGTGTCTCTGTCAAATAAATAAATAAAATCTTAAAAAGAGAGAGAGAGAGGAAAGAAAGAGAAGAAAGAAAAAGAAAGAGAAGAAAGAAAGAAAAAGAAAGAAAGAGAAGAAAGAAAAGAAAGGAAAGAAAGAAACTGGGGTATAATCACACGGTGGAGTATTACGGAGCAATAAAAAGGAACAAGCCAGTGATACACCCAACAACATGGATGGATCCAAAAATAGCACGATGTTGTATCAAAGAAACTAGACATAAAACACCATGTATTATAGGATTCCATTTACCTGACATTGTAAAGAAAACAGACCACAGAGACAAAACAGATCAGTGGCTCCCAGGGCTGGGCAAGGAGGAGGGAACGGACAACACGAAGGCGAAAGGGAGGTTCCTGGAGGAAAGGAAATATTCTCTCTCTGGGCCACGGTGCTGGCCTCACTCTGATATGCATGCTTAGGTCTAACCCCGTCTAACTGTACGCTGAAAAGGGTGAATTTTATTGGATGTAAGATATAACTCAGCCTAATTTTTATAAAGAATCAAGGGAGAGGTCTCAGGACCCCTTAGATAAATGCCAATTAAAAAATATAATTAAACACCCGTTCCTTCTATTTACCACGAACAGATTACACGTTGGCCTACCCCCTCTACTAAGGTGTCCAGTCCGCTCCCCCAGCCTCTTACCCACTAGGCCCCTTCTTATGCCATTCCTACATTTACTGCATAAATGTTTGTTTTAAGTACAAAAAATGAGTAGTCGGTATCGGGATGCCACCACAAATTTTGACATTATGTGGAAATTATGCTGCAGTAATGTTGACTTTTGAAATTGAAAACAAGGGGATAATTCACTAAAAATCAGTACTTCATTATATTTTTTGTTCAGTATTACGAGCACTCGTGAAGAACTCACCCAATTTTCCAATTTCGAAAATTGCACACCGAGCTAGGAAAACAAGGGAAAACGAGAATGCGCGTGGGGCTCTTGGGGGGGGGGGATCTCTAATACAATCTGAAAACCCCGCTCTGCCCAGGAGATGCATGGCTGGTAAGCACTTTACACAAATCCTACGACCATGGCCTTGAGAGCAAGGCTGACCTAATGCCCCTAAATAGAAGCAGACCCATGAGGCCCTGCCCTTTCGAGGCCTGGAGGACATCATGTAGGGCACCTCCAAAGGACCGACAGGGGCTACAGGGACACAGAGGGAGACTCGGAGAAGCAGTACCATTTGAGCTGAGTGAACGTGCAGCTTATGTTCGTCTGCTTCCGGCTAAATGGTAAGTAAAGGGAGGTTCTGTGCCTGTTTACTTTAAGCTCTTGGAAATAAAACCACAATGAACGGCAGGAGTCTGTGACACATCGCAATTGGATTTTGACCTCTCGGCCACGAGAAAAAGCACTCCATAATTTCCAAGCGATAGAACCTTCTGGCTGACGGCGACCCGAAGGGGCCCCTGTAGGCCCCTCTATGTTCCTCTGCCAAGAGGCTGTCTTCAAACGTTACGCGAAGAAACTCGTAGTCACGCTGCACACCCTTCGGATTTCTGCACAGGTCAGACGATTGAAGTCGTCAGAGTATCTGGAATCTACTTTCAAACCCCGCAGCATCAAGGGGATGCTCTGTACATGTGTGAGTTCCCGCCACTACAAATCTCCACTCTGGGGGCAGCTTTGGCCCTCAATGGGAAAACCCATTCTGGGAGCAATGAGCTGGACTTAATCCGAGACCAGAGGGCGGTGTTCACCTCCAAACTGTACCAGAAGCTTCGCCCATTAGTAAAAGCAGGGTAAGTAAGTGTTCTCGTTACTTAGTAGAACGGATGTGAGGATTCCTGGGGTAACGTGGACGGACTGGAAGGACACAGACACCCCCAGTCTGGTGTGAACAAGGTGCTAAGCCTCCAGAAAGGCCCGGAGGCCGTGGGGGCTGTCGGGAAGGCTGCCTCGGGCTCCACGCTGAATCGGCGCCGCCGGTTTCCTGCACCAGGCCACACTCGGACATGGTCACATCTGCCCCCGCAGGTGTCTTCAGTGGGAGGGGGAGAGAACCAACGGGACTGAGCAGGGACTGCGTTCGATTTACCTACAAAACTGTTTTTAGTCTGCTTGTGAGGACACAGGACTCTGCTGGCCCCACTCTGGGGAGGGCACCGGAGCCTTTACCAAGCTCTACTGAGGCTAAGTACCTACCAAAAGGCACCTAGCATTGGGGATTGTCAAAGTGGCTCAATTCCGTTTGGAGGGAAAATAAAAAAGATCTGCACAAATACAGAGAGTGACTCGTACCAAACCTTTCTGAGAGAAGATGTATCTGCTGATACAAGTCAGAAATTGAAGTCCCTGTTTTAAAAGTTTCATTACAAGAGATTCATTTGACATAAATCTCCTCCATCTGGAACGCGTTTGGCTTCTCCGTAAACAGAACGGGCCTAACTGTGAACGATTATTTTTATAAGGGTAATGCTCTCCTCAAAGAATCCCCCTTAACACAAGCCAGATGCTAGCATCTTTGAAAGAAAAGATATTCTTCAGGAAATGATTCGTCTACATCAGATCAAAGAAATGGAAACAAATGGATTCTAAAAGCTTGTGGAGTTTATGGTTTCGAATATTTTCACTGCAAGCCTGCGTCCTGCACGTAACGACTCCATGTGGCTCCACTGTATACGGGGTGTGCTTCTCAGCATCGCATTTCTCTTCCAGCACGACGTGGGGCGCCGCTCCCGGCCCCAAGCCTGGCCCGTCCAAACCTTCTGTTCCCAGGGGGCCTGGCCCACGCAATACTCCCCCTGAGCTCAACTGTATAATGAAGTAAGACCTGGATGAAGGCAGGCTCCATGAGGCTGGGGAACTCTTGCTGTGTAGGCAACCACGCTGTAACATAAATATGCGCCTACTGTATACCCACGCGTGCGAGCCACAGTGCCACGAACTAAGGATCTGGAGAGCAGGGAGACAGGCCCGACTGGGAGAGACGTCACATACCAGGACAGGGGGGCGCTCACCCAGACTGTGCAGAGAGCAACAGAGGAATGACCTCGGATAGGGCTTTGGACCAATCAGGTACTGAGGAGAGGCAGAAGGAGAACTGTAGACAGATCTGAAATGAGTTCCGGAAGCATGGCCGACAGGATTCGCTCCAGTCTGCACACGGGCCAAGAGGAGAGGCTGAGGCCAGGAGGAGTCCTACTTTATTTTTCTGGGCTTTTGTGGGTTTATTTTGTTTTACGCATACACAACTGGGTGATCTGCTGGGACCACGTCCTGACAGAAGACATAAGAACAGATTTCGAATAGAAAAGGTTCCGGTTGAGGGTGCCTGGGTGGCTCAGTCGTTAAGCGTCTGCCTTCGGCTCAGGTCATGATCCCAGGGTCCTGGGATCGAGCCCTGCATCGGGCTCCCTGCTC